TATACTGTTTAGTTGTATAATATTCACCTGCTGTAAAAACTGGTATTTTTGTTTGAAAGGAGTTTTGAAAGAATTTTCTTTATAGCCCAACTGTTATGCACTTTTTAAAATGTGCTAGCTATTGCTCAGTGGAATTTTTACAACTTGTTACATCAACATAGTTATGAACATTTCTTTTCATATCTATTCTAAATATGCATTTATTGCATGTTTCATTTAGAGAAATGGACAAAGAAGTCATTTATATGGTTGTACATAATAAAATCTGAAAACAAAAGACTGTATTAATTTTTTTAGTAAATGCATTTCATTGGTATTTTAAATATATTTAAATTTTTCTCAGTTGCTTTGGTGCATTTCTCACAACAGACTTAACAGTTGCATAACAGCAAATGCATTTCTCAAAACACTTGGATGACCGACAAAAGCAGGCAACCGCTTCAAAATACTTAGTCCGTGCCTCAAAAGCCAGTATTTATGTCATTGAATATGTCAGTGCTATCAAAATCCCAAGTCCATGAATCATCGTCCATGGACATGACAGCCAAAATGTAAAGTCATGTTATCAATATAAAATTGGCACAATGTAAACATTTTCTGACACAAAACATCTGAATGACAAGGGCAGGAAACATAAAAATAAAAAACACTGATTGCGGGAGATTGATTCAAGAAGAATATTTTATTGATTGCACTGGTATATGGTGATATACCATGCACTGCGATTGCAGTCTAGCAAAAAAATGCATTTCAATGCTTTATGCATAACATATGAAATGAAACAAAAAACAATTACAAAATCAAAAAGGGGAACAATACATACAGACTGAAACTCTAAATGCTTTCTACAGTTGCAGGTGCTCCTGTATATTGGGCCACATGGTCTCATCCACATCACAACAGATATCTTCCTTTGCAATGCCGCGTGAAGAGATCCTCCTAGAATGTCTTATCCAGCCTCTGCGGGAGCCTGCTGCTATATCCCCACACACAGCTTCCATGGCAGCAAGCAGTGTCATTTGTGTACGGTTACGGTCATATACCTTCCTCCTCCAAGCTGAGAAGAACTCCTCAATTGGGTTGAGGAATGGGGAATATGGTGGTAGTATTTCCATCAGCATCCTGGGGTGGTTGGCAAACCATTGCCTGATTGGGTTGGAGTGATGGAAACTCACATTATCACAAATGATCACATACTGTGGTACATTTTCTTGACCAATTTCCTCTTCAGGAATGGGATCCCTGTAGAGGGTGTTTAAGAAGGTCAGCAGATGTTAGGTGTTGTATGGCCCCACAAGAGGGATACGAGTGTGGACCCCATTGTCCGAAATAGCCACACATATAGTGATATTCCCACCCCGCTGGCCTGGCATGTCAACAGTAGCTCTCTGTCCAATCAGATTACACCCAAGTCTCCTTCCTTTGGCCAAGTTGAAGCCAACCTCATCCATGTATATGAAAATGGTGCAGGAATCATTAGTATTGTAAATACATACCAAAAAAGTTTTGTAGAAACCTATACAATACAATTGATAGCCAAT